AGCTGCACACCACCCATCCTCCCAGATCTTCCAGCACCTTCCAGTCTAGTCTCATTATCCATCATCCCCAACACTAATCTGGCAGAACCTGAACCCAGGTTCTGACATTACAGACTGCTAAAAATAATGCAGCTTGAGGTCACTTTAACTGTCCTGGCTCAGTGCTAGGGAATCATGGGAATTGTAGTTTTTTCTGGGACATTGAGCCTTCTTTGTCAGAGAGCTATGGTGCCAAAATAAACTACAATTCCCATGATTCCTTAGCACTGAGCCAGGACAGTTAAAGTGACCTCAAGCTGCATTATTTCTGGCAGTCTATAAAGGCCCTAGGACTTGGAAAAGCAGCTATGAAAGAATTATACAAAATCCTGAAGTGTAAAGATATATAATTGAATTAGGATTGTTGGTGCCATTGTATCTTCAATTTCTGTGTATTGTTTGGAAAGCTGGAGAGTGAAGAGAATTAACTCAGTTGAAAAGTGACCTCTGGATTGCTGGACAGCTAGACTTGAGAGACACAATGGCAAATGATGTCAACAGGAAAGAAAAATGGGAGACATCTGAAGAAAGCAGGATGGGTGAATAAGGAGCTTGTCAACCGCTTTAAATGAATTCAAGAAGACAGTTTCTCTCTATGATAACCCAAGAGGATGACTCCTCCTCTTCCAAACACATCATGAGGCAAGGAGGCACATGAAGCGTTTGTTTCAAAATGGGCCACTCCTGACTCGTCACCTTGCTGTTGATGAAAAGAATATCATGTACCGGTATTCATTATATGAAAAATTATTAATAGACATCCTGGGTTTCTAAAAAGCAAATTATTCCATATTAATCCTTATTGTTGTGTTCCTTCAAGTCATTTCTGATCTATGGCAACAGTAAGAAGAAGTTATCATGGGGTTTTCTTGGCAGGTTTCTTTAGAGGAAGATTGCTACTGTCATCCTCTGAGAGACCGTGTCTTGCCCAAAATCACCCAGTGGGTTTCAGTAGCTGAACAGGGATTCAAACTCTGGTCTCCAGAGTCACAGTCCACAGTCAAACCACTACACTACACTGATGACTCAACAATGTGATGCTGTGGCAAAGAAGGCAAATAATATGTCAGTCTACATTCATAGAAGCTTAGTTTCCTTTTTTAAAAAAAGTTGAACAAACACAATGATTAAAATACAGAGTGATAAACAACTAACACACAAAACAAACAAAAAAAAAATCCAAGTTTCCAAGACAGTGTCACAGTCCCAATATATTCTGCTATACTCAGGTCTGCCGTGGGTACTACACTCAGGTCTGGGCACCTCATTTTAAGAAGGCTATAGATAAGTTGCATTGGGTTCAGAAAAGGTCAACCAGGATGATACAAGGTATAACAAAACACGAGGAACAGCTGAGGTAGCTGGGCATGTTCAGGCTGGTGAAGAGAAGACTGTCTGGTGGCAAGCTGACTTGCTAGGGAGGTTGAAAACAATAACAATGGCCTTTTTATTATTTATGTATTTACTGTATTTATACCCTGCTCTTCAGCCACAAAGGCATTCTGTGCAGATAATTATGATGGAAGGGCTACTGTATAGAGAAAATGGCAAAATGCTAAGAGGGAACAGACACAAGGCAGAACTACTCAACTTCTTTGTCTTGTTCTTCTCCCAGAAGAACAGTGTTCAACCTGCAGTAAATGGAGAAGATGATGCAGTAAGGGGAAATAGGTAATGAGATATAGGGACACTGGGCTACTCTAAATGAATTCTAGTCTCCAGGGCCAGATGAACTACATTCAAGGGTATTAAAAGACAAGAGGAGCTCAGGTCTGGTGCACGGCCTTTGCAGCGACTGCTGCTCCCAGGCTTTAAAACTCCTCCCTTGAGAGAAAATGGGGCCTCAGAAGGAGAGGGAGACCGAGATGGTGCACTGGCATCAGTTATAACTCTGCTAGCTTCCAACTGTGCAAAATCAAAGTTTTATATTTTACAAAAGCAGCTGCAGAAAAGCTCAGGTCTAGCACAGGGCAACCCAGGCAACCCATTTCTAAACCTGCATCCCAACAGCTGCATAAGAAATGCCATGAAGTTCACTCCTTCAGCATCTAGCCAACAATGGCAAAAGGGATCTTTACTCCGAGATTTCCATTTTGATTTCCTTGTAGAGAGTCCTCTGGCCTGAATCCAGAAGATCCCACTTCCTTTTGGGGAAATTACACAGCCACTGCTTCAAAGTAGACCTGGAGCTGAAGGGGAAAAAACCCAACACTTATGTTATGGCAATCATTCCCTCCTCCTATATGTCTCTTTATGAGCCCATTAGAGCTCTAAGGTAGTCTGTCCCACTCAGGCTTCTATTGTGGGAATGAGAGACAGAGCCCCATCTGCACAACAAAAATCCTATATTTCCCCAAGATGTCTGGTGAAGTGTGCAGGTTGGGAAGGAGGTCAGACCCAGGGAATCCAATGCCAATGGGTCACGGGGCTCTGTCTGGCCGTCTAGCTGGGATCAGAGACAGGGGGTCCCTCTCCATCCCAGCTGCTGGGGCAGATGGACAGTTGAGCATGTGGACATTACCAAGTGTGTCTGCCATACCTTCCAACATTTCGCTTGTGAAACCCAGGGCATGTGTGACCAGTAAACACCCCAATGTGGCCAAGAGGGAAAAATTTATCCTCAAGGAAGAAGACACAAACAAGGAGAACCGCAGCAGTTTGCTTTTGCCTGAGCCTGAGATCATGACCCCTCATCTCCTCCCTCTGATATA